GGGCCGGAGCCTCACGCGGCACCTCGGCGGGCGGGCCGGCGAGTGGAGGGGGGCTGGCGGCGGCTGCCAGGGTGGCTGCACTGCACGCGTGCAAAAAGCTGCAGGGGGGGGGTGACTGCCAGTGTGGCCGGCTGCCAGGGTATGCAAGCTGCGAGTGAGTTGTAAGCAGGGGCGTTACCACCCACGGGACTGCAAGAGTACCAGGGTGGCCAGAGCCAGGTGGTCCGACCGCCACGAAATGAATTGGATGCGAGTGAATTGGGCAGCAGCGTGGTAGCACCGCGATGTGACCAGGGTGGGCACCTCAGAGTGACCCAAGATGCCTGCCAAAGCCTGGCAGGTGCGAGTGGTGGCGCAAGCAAAGTCGCACACCCGAGCCCCGGACAGAAGGGAGCGCAGTCCGCGGTCGACATTCCATGGATGGCGACAGACGCAGAAAGAGTAGATACGCCATGCAACGGGAAAACGATCAGATCACCAACAATATTTGTACTAGGTGACCCGCAATTTCGTAACCTGCAAGCGGAACTTGCGAAGGCGGGAGTTGGTCCATAACCGCAGCCTGTGGGGTCGACCTGCGGGGACCCCGGCAGGTTGCGGAAGTGGATGCGTGTGGCCCCTCCACGGACCATGCGCACGCGTCGGCGGCAGAAAAAGGTAAACACATGAAGTAGGAAGGCGGAACAAACTAGATCGGGTTCAGGCCCTCCCAGATGGTAACAACACGCACCAACAGCATATCGATTCTTGAACTAGGAAGGCACTCGAGGTAGACTGGGTTCTAGGGGTCCAGAAAGACCTATGCCTACACGACCACCATTCGGGTGATAAGGAGGTTCGGGGGGGAACCAATATCTCACTCGATCGGTCTCACTATCGATCTCACTATCGATCTCACTATCGGTCTCGCTCGATCGATCTCACTCGATGGATCTCAGAATCGGTCTCGCTCGATCGATTTCATTCAATCGATCTCAGAATCGATCTGACGATCGATCTCACAATCGATCTCACTATCGATCTCACTATCGATCTCACTATCGATCTCAAATTCGGTCACACTATCGATACCACAATCCGTCTCACAATCAACGTCGTCATCATCACCATCATCATCATCGTCATCAACGTCATCAGCATAATCACCAGCATCATCACATAATCGGGACACCATCATCATCATCATCATCACCTCATCACCATCATCATCAACATCATCATCACCATCATCATCATCATCATCGGAGCACTATCATTGTCACCATCAATACCAACAAAATCATCATCATCATCGGACACCATCATCAGCATCATCGGAACACCACCATCATCATCATCCTCATCATCATCTCATCATCATGAACAACATCATCATCATCGGTACACCATCATCACCAGCAACATCATCATTATCATCAACATCATCATCATCTGGACACCATCATCATCGTCACCATCATCATCATCACCATCAACCTCACCGGGACACCATCATCATCAACATCAGCATCATCACCATCATCGGGCCACCATAATCAAAACCATCATCATCACCTAATCAGCATCATCAACATCATCATCATCATCGGGACACCATCATCGTCATCATCATCATCATCGTCATCATCATCATCATCATCATCCGGATCGGGACACCATCATCATCATCATCATCACCATCATCATCAACAACATCATCATCATTCTGCTCATCACCATCGGGACACCATCATCATCATCATCATATTCATCATCATCATCGTCATCATCTCATCATCATCTCATCATCACGATCATCAGCATGATCATCAAAATCATCAGCATCATCATCATCGGGACACCTTCATCATCATCAGCAACATCATCACCATCAACATCATCATCATCATTGAGACACCATCATCATCACCACCATCACCATCATCATCATCATCAACATCGTGAGCATCATCATCGGGACACCACCATCATCACCACCATCACCATCATCATCATCATCACCACCATCACCATCATCATCATAATCATCAACATCTGCGACATCATCATCATCATCATCATCATCATCATCATCATCATCATCATCATCATCGGGACACCGGCGGGACACCGCGCGCCACCGGCCCCTTGAGAGGAAACACTTGGTCCGGCCGCACCTCAGCCGGAGGCGGGACACCGGCGGGACACCGCGCGGGACGGGCCCCCGGAGAGGAATCATTTGGTCCGGCCGCGCCTCAGCCACAGGAGACTTTCCTCTTGCCCGCCCACGCATTTTCGCCTCGCCCGCACGCACGGCACGCACGAACACGAAACCGAAACCGATTTCCCGGTAGGGGGGCTCTCAGTTCCACTTCGATCTCACCCATTCACCTCCGACGACCACCCTGCGGGTGATAAGGAGGTTGGGGGGGGGAGGGGGGCCAGCAATGGGCAACAGTGGTGATTGTTGCGTTGCCGCTCGCTCTTGGGATCATCGATCCCACTATCGATCTCACTCGATCGATCTCACTATCGATCTCATTCGATCGATTTCACTGTCGATCTCACTCTGGATCTCGCTATCGATCCCACTATCGATCTCCCTATCGATACCACTCGATCTCACAATCGATGTCACTATTCATCTCACTATCGATCTCACTATCGATCTCACGATCGATCTCACTATCGATCTCACAATCGATTTCGTCGTCGGTCTCACTATCGTTTTCGCACCAGCAGGACACCGGGACACCGGCGGGACACCGGCGGGACACCGGTGGGACACCGCGGGCCACCGCTGCCGGAGGGAGAATCATTCGGTCCGGCCGGGACCCAGCCACAAGCGGGACACCGGCGGGACACCGGCGGGACACCGCGGGCCACCGCTTGCCGGAGGGAGAATCATTTGGTCCGGCCGCGCCTCAGCCACAGGAGAATTTCCTCTTGCCCGCCCACGCATTTGGGGGCTCTCCGTTCCACCTCGATCTCACCCCCTCTCCTCCGACCTATACTTTCAACGACCGGCGCGTACCCATCCATGGCCGCCGCCTGCTGAGGTCCCCGAGGAACGACCCCGTAGGCGGCGGCGATTGACCAATAAATATGACAGCCTCGGACCTTGGTGACCGCTCGCGCTCAGGGCGAGTCGTCCCAGATGGCCTCGGCGAGGAGGCCAACATCTTTGATTTCACGAAGGGCTTGGCCCACTCTGGGCTTCCTGAGAGGGCAGCGCTACTTGAGTACGTCCGCTCCCTTGATCGAACTCCTCCAAGATGGCCTTCAGATGGCCCCCAAGGCTCACAAGAGTATCCCAGAAAGGCCCCAAGAGGCACCCAGGCCCCAAGAGGCCCCCAAAGAGGCCCCGAATAGGCTCCTCCAAACCCCACAGGAGGCCCAAACAGGCTCTCCCGAGGCACCCAAAAGGAACCAAGATGTTTTTAGGGCCGCCAAGAGCCCCCAAGACGCCCAAAGTGGACTCCAAGAAGCTCTCGAAGAGACATCCGAAGAGCCTCCGAGAAGCATACAAGAGGCCTGTGGCCTGTTTTGGTTGGCCTACTCCTCCTCCTCCTCCTCCTCCTCCTCCTCCTCCTCCTCCTCCTCCTCCTCCTCCTCCTCTGTTTTCTTCATAGATGACTACTCTCCTTCGCACCCCGAGACGTATTCGTGGCTTTGAAGTCCCAGGAGTGGTGCTCTGGCGCGGTTACGGATTTTCACTCGCTTGTCTTCCAACGGGGAACGTCCCCAAGTGGAAATGAATCCTTGTAGGGGACTGCGAAGACAGAGCTTGGAGGGAGGTTGTACTGCAACATCGTTGATGAGCCGTTGGTTTACACTGGTCCGTATCATCCTCCTCTTCCTCATCCGCTAATCCCTCCCCCTTCCTCCTCCCTCCCCCCGCTCCCCCTGTCCCTACCTTCCCATCTCCCTCCTACTTCTCCGATTCCTCCTCCATCCTCTCCCTCTTTCCATCCTCTCCCTCCATATCCCTGATGAGTGCATCTCGCCTGGGCATCGTTTCTGGATTGGCTGGTGGGGCTACGCCAGGCGTCTACAATTCCAGAGTACCTGGCGGCCCTCGTTTCTGCGGCCCGTGTGGAGCGTTCGTGAATCTAGGATATCCCCCCTGGAAACATCGGGAATCTTGGAACGTGTCTAGAGGCCTGCTAGATAGGGTCCTAGTAGATGCGGCCGGAGGATGGCACCACACCGCCGATGTATCGGCAGTGCATCGGTGACGTCGGCGATGCATCGGCGACACCAGAGTGGAGAAAATCGGGCTCCACATCGAGCCGCATTGCCGATACATCGCCGATGCATCGGCGATGCAGCGCACCCCTTCGACCCCATCTGCTGCGACCCGGTGTGGAAGGTTTGACCTGGAAGGAAAAAAACGGGGACCGTGACCAAGACTGAATGCGGAAACGTCGTATCGATCTTGGTCAGCGCCAATCTTGGTCAGGGCCGACTCGGATATAACCTCCACGAATCAGTCACGGCAATCGTGGACCATGACCAAGATCGGCACTGTCAGGATCCCACGACTTTGTCATAGTCCACGTGTCGGGGATCTACTGGCCCAGGTCAATTCAAACCCAGGTCAGTCAGGCCTTGCAGGATCCTACGTACTAGAAGACCCTGCAATATCCTGCAGGAACCTGCACCCGAGCCCGGGTCAGTGCGACATCCTGGCCCTGCTAAATCCTGCAAGACCCGCCGCTCTGACTGACCCCCGTTTGCGTTGACCCCCGTCTCTTATCGGGGGCGCGCAAACATGGATTAGCGATACATGGATGTGGCGCGCGGTCGCCAAATCCATGGATCGGGGGAGATGCCCTCCCAAAAAATGCGGATGGTGCCGCCTCGCTCGGTGGCGGAAATCCGCGATGTCCCATGGAAACGAGACCCGTCGCTGATCCACGCCCCCTTGATCCATGTCTGCGATCGCCTGATCTGAAGCCCCGACCGTGCTGATTCCCCCGATAACTGCGACCTCTTGCTCCCCCGACTCGCGCCCCAGCCTTGGGCTTGGCGGGCGTCGACACGCGCAGGTCCGTCAGCCCGTGCGCGTGGTTGCAGCGGTCGCCCTGCGCGTGCGCCCGGGGGGGATCGCCGCGCTGCCGCAGCTGCACTCCCTGCGAGTGCCCGCGCTGGACGAGGGGGAGGGGGGGGACCTGTGCAAGCCCAAAACTCATCAACGATGTTGAGACACACCCTCCCTCCAAGATCCGTCTTCGTAAGCCCCTACAAGGGGTCGGTCATTTCCGCTGAGGGAACTACCCCGTTGGGGAACAACCGTGTGAACATCTTGAAGCATGCCCAGGCACCGTTCTCAAGACTCCAACGCGAGGAGTTACCTGACTGTTACGTCTTGGCAATCCAGAATCGCGCCGCAACACCATTCTGGGCACTTCAACACCGCGAATTAACGTAATCGCTGCGCCCTTACAGTCCTGAGTCGTTCCAAGCAACAATTTCTGATGCGCCCTGACAATCCTGAATCGTTTCATAAAACCATGTGTGATACATTGTGCGAAATAACCGCATCTTGAAAAGGAGCCGCCCTCAATCCGTGAAACCCTTGCAACTGTTTAGAACTAGTGTGCGCGGCGCTAAGGCGAGAGCCACACTTTGAGAAGGAACCACCCTCAATCAGCGAAGCTCTTGCAATTGTTCAATTTGAGTGTGCGCAGCGCGCGAAGGTCAGGGCTTCATTTTGAAACAACGGCCGCCCTCCATCCGTGAGAGTCGTGCATTTTCAAATCAAGAATATGCGCGGCGCTAAGGCGAAAACCGCATGTTGCAAACCACCCGCCCTCCAACTGTCAAACTGTTCCCAATGTTTAAGCATCACAACCATGCGTGGTGAAGAAACCTCTGGCGAAACGCCCGGCCCGCGCCCTGTCGACCGGTCTCGGGATGCGACAGGGAGGAGCTATCTACCAGGAAAAAAAGGAATGGAGGAGGAGGGGGTGAGGTTGGGGAGGGGGTAGGGACAAGCTAGGTGCGCTCGCGTCATATCTGACGTTCTACCCCTCCCTCCCATCCCTTACTATCGCGTAGATCTCCTCTCTATTCGCACAATCGGATGTCGCAGCATGGCATAGCATTACATGTCATAGCATGGTGTCGAATATCAACCCGTAGCATGACATAGCATGGCGTGGCGACGCCCAAGGTGGGGGCTTCTGCGGCCAAAAAAATCAACGAATCGACACCGAATGCGTAATGACTTCCAATGGTTTTCTTCGAGGGGGCATTTTCTACATTTTGGGGCCTATTTGGAAGGACCGGAAACCATGCCATGGCATGGCGCTGGAAATAATAATGACGCCAAGGCTGCAGCGGGAGCACGATTCGGAACGACCGGTAGCCCGAAAGTGATGCCAGCTCTTCAGCGAGAGCAATTTTTTGAAAAAGCCCAAGCGCGGAAACGCGGAAATGAGGACGCGTAGCCTGACATAGCATAGCGTGGCGAGGGGGCTTCTGCGGCCCAAAAGATCAATGAATCGACACCGTGTGCAATCACTTCCAATGGTGTATTCAAGGGTCCATTCTCTAGATTCTGGGGTCTATTTGAAAGGACCGGGATCCGTGCCGCGGCATGGCGCTGGAAATAATGACGCCAGCGCTGCAGCGGGAGCACGATTCGGAACGAGCGGGAGCGCAACAATGAGGCCAGCGGGAACACGATTCGGAACGAGCGGTAGCCCGAAAATGAGGCGCTTCCGCAGACCAAAAAATCAATGAATCGATACCGAATATGTAATCACTTCCACTGGTTCTTTCGGACGAGCATTCTCTAGATTTTGGGGCCTATTTGGAAGGACCGGAAACCATGCCGTGGCATGGCGCTGGAAATAATGACGCCAGCGCTGCAGCGGGAGCACGATTCGGAACGAGCGCAAGCGCGGAAATGAGGCCAGCGGGAGCACGATTCGGAACAAGCGGTAGCCCGAAAATGATGCCAGCGCCTCAGCGAGAGCAGCATACTGAGGAAAAACCCAAGCGAAAACCCAACTCCCGGGAATCCTGTGAAATAATATTAACAATACTCGGTCGGAGGGGGGCCAGACATTCCCTAAACGCCACCAGGGGAGAGAGGAGAGTAGCATTCATAGTGTATCATTGAGGAGGATGGGGAGGAGGATGGGAGGGAGGAGGGGGAGGAGACGCAATGGAGGAGGAGGAGGGGGAGGAGGGGAGGAGGGGGTTGGGAGGGGGAGGAAGGAAGGATGAGGGGCATGGCCGTCGAAGGCCCCCCCAGACGCGCCCACGAGGCCCCGGGCACGCGCCGAAGTGGCCCCGGGCGGCCCAGGGGTCCCCCGAGAGCCAGGAGGCCCCAAGAAGCCGCGGAGAGGCCTCTCGTCTACGACCCGGGTACAATGGCGGGCTGGGCCAACGGCCCCCTCCCGCTTCCCCACTCACACACACACACCTCCCATCTCCACGTCCTCCTCATTTCGTCCTTCCTGTCCTGCTCATCTTCCTGCTCCCTCGTTTGTTTTTTGCCACATCCATCTCCCCCTTCCGCGTCCCCAAATCTCCTCCAGGACGGCCCAGAGGAACCCACGGCAGCCCCAGATGGTCCCAAGACCGCGGAAGAGATCCCCAAGGAGGGCGAAAACTGCGCCCAGAGAGCTCCAACACAGACGCAGGCCCTGACGACGACTCCCAAACGGCCTTACAAGGTAACCCTGGCTGCCCACCCGCATGCGTCCAAGATGTTCCAAGACGGGCCACAGACGTATGGAGGCGGAGGAGGAGGGTGAGCAGGCGCAAACGGATTCTCCAGCATGGGCCGAAGAGGGTCACAAGACCAACAACACACGACCGGAGGCGGAGGACGCCTAGGATGGGGAGGAGTACCTCCAAGAGAGCCCAAAAAAAAACTTACGGTTGAAGTGTAAACAAGCAGCGCCGGCACCACCTCCCACGACCCCCTCCAGCATCCCTCTTGCCGCACTCGTGTTGCCATCCTCCTTTGTTTCTTCCTTCCTTCCCCCACCCTTTCCAGCCGACAGAGGACTTCTGTTTCTTCCACACAAGGTCCCAGGAAGCCCCGACCCTTTCCGCGAGGTCGGCTCTTCTTCCTGGAAGCGTTTCCTGGCGCTCCCCAGGCCCAGCGAGGGCCCCCAGGGAAAGGAACTACTGACAACTCTGAGCATGATCCTCCACCCGACAGGCTGGGGTTGTTAGAATGTTTTGTATACCGCGGCCTCCAGGCCCAGAGTGTGACGGTGTCCCTCGAGGACCCCGCCTCGTGCCTTCGACGAATGGCAGCTGCAGGTCCAAAGTGTGGCGGTGCTCCCTGGGGATCTGGCCTCGCGTTCTCGAGTGGGGATCGCTCGAAGCTAAATCATATGTTTCCCAAGGTTGGCCACGACAGGATCAGTGCGGGCGGATGGATTGGCGTTCCCCATCTGGGCGCAGAGCGAACTCCCAAGAGGCCCCCTAACTGCTCTGACATAGTCGGCACATGTGATAAGGAATCCAGATATCAGAATTCGAGGGGAACGTTTGTCGACGATTTCTGAGCTCCCTGAGCTGCCCCAAAGAGTCTGCGGTTCCCCAGGGTCGTCAGGGACATGAATAGAGGCCTCCTAGCTAAGTCCGAGTAGATGGGGTCCGAGAATCGCGACGCGTCAGCGATGCATCGGCGATGTATCGGCGATGTATCGATAATGCATCGGCGGTGTGTCGGCGATACGTCGGCGATGCATCGACGATGCATCGGCGATGTGTCCGCGATGCGTCGGCGATATCGGTGTGGATAAAATCGGGATCCACATCGAGCCGCATCATCGATGCATCGGCGATGCGGCGCGATCCTTCGACCCGCATCCACATTTGGACCTAGGCCAGGAGAACACCCCACAAGAACATGAGACCCTCCGCCGGCCCCCAAAAAAACAGCACTCGAGGGTACCCTCCTCCAGGATGCACAAGAACATTCAACAAACCCGAAGAACACTAGCCGGCGGCGAGCGAGGGGGGAAGTGAGAAGGAGAAGGCCTTCTCAGAAGGTTCGGAAGTCCCCCAGCCTTCTGAGAAGATCTCTGAGCCTTCCCAGGAGACGAACAAAAACCTCTCAGAAGGCGCGAAGGCTTCTGAGAAGTCCCACCGCCTTCTGAGGAGGCTTCCTCCTTCTCATTTCCTTCCCTCGATTGCCGCCGAAGTAGGGTGCCCTCCCCGAACCGACCTCGATCTTATACCGCGGCCCGACTCTACTCTTAGGTCGGGCCTGTCCCTCTACAGAGGGACTTTGGACGAAAAATCAAAAATACCCCCCAAATACTCCCAAATAGTTAAACAATGCTCATAAAATCGTCCCCGGACTATTTTCTTGACTATCTTTAAACATTTCTCCTGTAGAGGCACACGCCCGACTGAAGTCGACTCGGGCCCCACGTGGGAGGCTCAGAGAGAGAACCTTCCGTGGGCCGCGTGCTGGCCGGCCGGCCCAGAGTCTATCGTACCGCGCGTGCCTGCTGCAAGGCGATGGCTCGCGCAGCCGCTGGGACGCCGGTCTCGTGCGCTGCTGTTTTTCCTCCTCGCGGGCAGATCCAAAATCATACACACAAAAAAACATAACACCGTGAGCGGAAACTTTTGGCGCTCCGAGCGGATTTCTTGGATCTGCGCTGGAACCCCCGCCAGGGGGGCTCAGCGCGGATCCAAGACATCCGCGCAGAGCGTCGAAACGTGTGTAAGCCTTCCCCGAAGACGCAAAACAACCTTTCAGAAGCCCTCCGGCCCTCTGAGAAGCCCCGCCGCCTTCTGAGAAGGCCGGCTCCACCCCCGGCGCGCCGCCGATGAAAGCCCAGGAAGCGGTTGCGGCCGTGAGAGTTTGTCGCGAGGGGCGGCGCAAGAAAGAGGGTAAGAGGGGGGATAAGCAGCAGCAGGGGTGAGGCGCAGCGTCGAGCACGAGGGCGAGGAAGATGCAGGGAGGCACGGCGCACACGAAGGCAGAGGCAAACATACCACCACCACCTCACTCGTCCAGCGCCGCTCCCCCTGCGTGCGGCTAGTCATGGAGCCTTCTTGCAGTAGCCCCGCTCAAAGAAGTTGCACATCTGGGTCTTGTAGATGCCCTGCCCAAATATGCCGCAGCAGATGAACGGCTCAACGCTCAGAAAGAGACGATCGCGAGGATAGCGAAGCGGCACAACGTGATCAGTCGAGCCTCCTACCCGCGACGCTGGTGGGCGTCGTACTGTCGCCTACATCCCAGCACGACATTGTCATGACATTACATTCTTAATATAGCCATGACATATAAATCTAGCGCTGATACTGCATTTGACAAGCAACCTGAATTACGACTGTGCTCGTACGATGGTGAACTGCACTGGTGTCGCACAGTCGGTTGACCATGGCACAGACAAATATCGCATTGAAGATCACGACCTCACGCAATTAACAATCATCGGCTTGCATACTGATGATCGACATGAGGAGTCGGGAGGGGAGGGGATAGAACTGAAGGGGGGAGGGGGGAGAGATGGGAAGACGGGCATAAACAAGATAAGGTAAGGCAGACTCCTCTATGACCAGAGGACGAAGCGGAAGAGAAGGAGGAGGAGGAGGAGGAGGAGGAGGAGGAGGAGCGCGACAAGCATGCGCTTCACGTCTGGGCAACTCATCAAAAGGGAGGAGGACGAGGAGGAGGAGGAGGAGGAGGAGGAGGAGGAGGAGGAGGAGGACCCTTCCAGGGATAAAACACTCCAAGGCAGGCCTAAGGAACTCCTCCCAAAACGGACCTTTGAGCGCCCGGAGCAGGCCCAAATGCTACGTCAGACTGCAGCGAGGGGAGGGGGGAAATGAGGCAGATGCAGGGGATGGGTAGACAAGCGCGTTTCACTACTCGCAAGGTACCTACTACTCGCAAATGGCATGGATCCGACGCGGGGGGATTTACGATCCATGATACAGAGGGAGATTATTGTCTTATCTCGGACGTTTGAAAGTAGGCACTTTGCGAATAGCGGTGCGCGCTCGGTGACAGGGGGACATGGGAAGGGAGGGTGGGAATGAGAAGGATGCGGAAGGAGAAGGTTGGGTGGTTGGCTGGTTGCTGGAGATCCCTTCGGACTTAGTTTCAGTCCGCGGGCACGGCCTCTCTTGAGCACGATTGCCGGGCGGACGGCAACCCAAAGAGATCGACTCTGCCCTGGCCCCGCCCTGGCCGCCGCGGGAAGGCCGGAGAGAGGCGAGGAAGAGTGCACACTCGAGGGCCTCCTCCTCCTCCTCCTCCTCCTCCTCCTCGTCCTCGTCCTCCTCCTCCTCCTCCTTCTCCTTCTCCTCCTCCTCCTCCTCCTCCTCCTCCTCCTCCTCCTCCTCCTCCTCCTCCTCCTCTCCTCTCTCCTCCTCCTCCTCCTCCTCCTCCCCTCCCCTCCTCCTCCTCCTCCCCTCCTCCTCCTCCTCCTCCTCGTCGTCCTCCTCCTCCTCCTCCCTCGTCCTCCTCATCCTCCTCCTCCTCCTCCTCCTCCTCCTCCTCCTCCTCCTCCTCCTCCTCCTCCTCCCTCCTCCCCCTCCTCCCCCCTCCTCCTCCTCCCCCTCCCCCTCCTCCCCCTCCTGCTCCTCCTCCTCCTGCCCCTCCTCCCCCTCGGCCAGCCTCGCGGCGACCCCAGGCTCGAGCTCAACCCCAGCAAGGAGCTCCAGGGCGGCTGCCGACACTAACGCGGACCTGGGCTCGCCCCCGAAGGGCGCTTCCACGACCCCCTCGCGCTGCGAACAAAAAACCACGACGGGAGGTTTTTCGCTATGTTCGGCCTCTGGGGGCCCCTGCCGGCCCTCGGGACCGTCAACACAACGACTCGGGATGAAACGCCGGCCCCGCACTCGCGTCGAGGGGAGCCGCCGACAGCAGCGGGGGCGCACGCAGGCGCAGGGCGGCGACCAGCGCCCTGGGACCCCCGGGGCGGGGGGGGCGCGGGCGGCCTGCGCCCAGGGGAGGCAGAAGGTTGGGGCTGGAAGCTGGGCGAGGAGGGCTGGCAGATCCGCGGCTGCCAAAACGGCTCGGGTGTTGCCAGAAGTGCCGCTGGCCCAAGGTGCCCCCAGCTTTTTCGCTCCATTTCTGGAGCCCCTGGGGTCCTCTGGGCCTCGTGAGGGGTGCCCTGGAGGCCGCCTGGGCCACCCCGAGAATCCTGGGGGTACCTTGGGCCAGGGGTACTTCTAGCAACACCCGAACGGTCTCCCTGGAAGGAAAACAACAGGTTCCTGGAATCAAGCCCAGCGCGCACTAGAAATAATAAACGGGCTGCCCTGGAGGGAAACAACAACTATTTCCCGGAGCTCCGTTTTAGCCACGGGTTTGCCAGCCTTCGCCTGGCTTCTGAATGGGAGAGAAGGGCGAGGATGCAGGAGGACGAGACGGAGGAGAACAGAGAAGGACGAGAGGGAGTGAGGACCACGGGTTTGCCAGCCTTCGCCCGGCTTCTGCATGGGAGAGAAGGACCGAGGAGGCGGAACGGGCAGGAGAGAAGGGCGAGGGGGGGAGGCACGAGCTAGGTGCGCTCGCGCCCTGTCTGCGAGGCGGGGAGGGGATGCGGGAGGATGGGAGGCGGAGGAGGAAGAGGAGAGGGGGAGGGCAGACGAGGGGGACCAAGGCAAACCCAGACCGCATCAACGATGCTGCCGTGAACCCTCCCTCCAGTGTCCCACTTCATAGTACCCTACAAGAATGTATGTTCATTGCGAGAAGTGCCCCATTGGAAGAGACTCGTCTGAGAATCCGCAATCGTGCAAAAAGCGCAATTCCTGGGACTCCAACGCCGTGAATCAACGTGACCGTTGCGTCCTGACGATCGAAAAACCGCGCCCGAGCACCGTTACAGGGACTTCACCACCGCGGATCAACGTGACTGCTGCGTCCTGACAGTCCTGAACGATGCGGGGATACCATCCAGTGGAATTCAACTGTACGAATCCTTCCAACTATACGAATTCAGCTATACCAATGTACGCCGCACTAGAGCGAGAGCCAAAGTTTGAAAAGAAACCGCCCTCCGTCCCTGACCCTGGTCGAAGTGTCAAGCTTCGGTGATGCAATGCCAAGCGAAACACCCGGACGACCCTACCGACATGTCTGGAGTTACTCATAAGGCAAGGGGAAAGGAGAGGGAAAAATGAGAAGGAGAAGGTTGGGCGAGAGAAGATCATGGGTCCCACTATTCTCCACCCTCCCCCTCTGGGGCCCTCATCCCGATCCACCTCCACATCATCCGCATCGTCCTTCTGCCGCTGTTGCTGCAAATCCTCCTCCTCCTCCTCTTCCTCCTCCTCCTCCTGCCTACTCATCCCCGTCCCCCCTGCTCCCTCATATCCCCCGCTCCCTCCTATCCCTACTCCACTCTCCCCTTCATTCTCACAGAAGAAGGCAACTCATGAAAGGGGCAGGGGAAGGAATAAAGACGGGGGAACCATCTGAGGAGGCGGAGGCGGAGGAGGAAGAGAAGTGAGGTGGAGGAGCGACGAGAACAATCTTATTAATGATGATGGTGATGATGATGATGAGGAGGATGAGGATGAGGATGAGGATGAGGATGATGATGATGATAATGATGATGGTCATGATGATGCTGATGATGATGCTGATGATGATGATGCTGATTATGATGATGATGATGATGATGATGATGATGATGATGATGATGATGATGATGATGATGATGATGATGATGATGGGGAGGAGGAGCGAGCGGGGAATGGGAAGATGAATGAGCGGAGTCATGCCAGGAAGCTTGAGGGCGATGGGGAGCAGCAACGCACGCTCACTCATCGCCACCTCCGTCCCTCCGTTCCGTAACTCCCTCCATTCCCTTCCTCTCGCCTCCCTCCCAGACTCACTCAATCCCTCCCTCCCTGTTCTCCCTAATTCCATCCTCTCTCTCCCTCTTGCGCTGCGTCCCTCTCTCCGTCACTCACTCGCTCCCCCCCTCCTCGTCCTACCTCCTGGCCGCTTCGTCCTCCCTCGCTTCTGGCTGGAACCTGCTTCCACCTCTCACCACCCCTGCTACATGCTCGATCGTACAGCTCCTCCTCCTCCTCCTCCTCCTCATCTTCCTCCTCCTCCCCCGCAAAATCACGCCATGCTATGGCATGCTACGCTCTGCCGTGCTCTAATATGCCATGCCACGCCGTGCTCTACCATGCATCGCGTACCCTCTCGCGATCATTGCCCTGCACGGCATCCGACGGTGCGAGTAGAGAAGATACTTACGCCATGGTAAGGGACGGGAGGGAGGGGTAGGACGTCAGATATGACGCGAGCGCACCTAGCTTGCCCATCCCCCTCCCCCCTCCCCCCACTCCCTCCGCCCTCTCGCTCCCGCTCCACCCCACGTGCTAGGGCCCTTCCCCTTGAGGGGGGGGGACGAAAAAGGGGGGGCTGGCTCACAGCGGAGAAGCACTGATTCGGAATCGGCGATGCATCGCCGATAGATGAACACTCGGCCCTCCATAGCAAAACCGCATGTCCCCCGGTGGGAAACGCCAACTGAAGGCACGCGAACAGCGGGGAGCAGGGAGGCGGGGAAGAGGAGGAGGAGGAGGAGGAGGAAGAGGAGGAGGAGCAGGAGGAGTGTTTTGACAGCATTCCCCGCCCAATAGGCCTGGACTGTGATGCTTACGTCGACGACTTTGGGCTCAGTTGCACGGGTAGAAGAGATAAGGACGTTGTTCGTGTCCTTGTTGCTGGAGCTCGCGCTCTGCATGCCGGGATAACCGAGATTCTGACGTGCAAGCTAGCGATGGATAAAGTCGGGATGGCCTCTAGTTCTAAGGACGTTGCTCAGCAGCTCATTCAGAAACTGGGGTCCCTGGCTGGGCCCAGTAGCAGCCTTGAACGAGTCACGGCTGGTGGGTCTCGTAGGTCTCTCCGCGCCCCTGGCAAGGGCAGAGCAGCCAAGCTTAAGTCTCGTTTTGCTGCCACCCTCAGGGGAACTAAGCGACTAAGCAATCTCAAGCAAGCTCTTTGTCGGGAAACGCTGAAGGTGTTCGCCGCGGGGCCGCTTGCTGGCGGTGCCTACGGGGCGGACATCTATGGCGTCTCCGACCGAGACCTGCTGAGTTTGCGCAGGGCGGCTATGTC